CCAGGTGGCTTCTCTGTTGAATTATTTCAGATATTAAAGAAATAAACAATAGCAATACTACCCAAATTCTTAGAGAAGGTAGAGGAGGGAACAATTCCAAACTTACTGTATGAGGCTTGTAGTGCCCTGATACAAAACGGAATCAAGACTTTGCAAGAAATGAAAACTATAGACTAGTATCCTTCATGACAATAGATACAAAAGTCCTTAACAAATACTAGCAGATCCAATCCATCAGTATATACAAAAGAGTATTACATCATCGCCAAGTAGCATTTATCCGAGGAATGCAAGTTTTGTTTAACATCTGAAAACCAATATGGTAATTTCCCATATTAATAAAACAAAAGTAAATACCAAATGATTATTTCAATAGATGGAAAAAATGCATGGGATAATGTAAAATAACCACTCGTCCTGAAGACTCAGCAAACCAGAAGCAGAAGGTGACTTCTGAAACCTAAGGAAGGGCAGCTGTGAAAAACTGCCACTTACATCACAGTAGATGGTGAACTGCTGAATGCTTTCCCTCTAAGACAGGAACAAGTCAAGGGCATCTGCTTTTACCACTTTTGTTCGATGTTCTATTGTAGACTCTAGCTATTGGAATAAGGGAAGAACAACAAAGAAGAGTCCTATGGATTGAAAAGGAAGAAGTAAAACCGTCTTTATTTGTAGGGAACATAATAGTGTATGTAGAAAACTGTAAGAAATCTACAAAAATGTACTAGAACTAAAAAGTCAATTTAGCTAGATTACAGAATACACAGATCAATATACAAAAATCAGTTTTATTTCTCTATACCAGCAGTTAACATTTTGAAAATGAAATTTAAAAACAATTCATTATAAGAGCAACAAAACTTAAAATATTTAGTAATAAGTTTAATGAAAGATGTTCAAGCCTTGTACACTGAAAACTATAAAACATGGGTGAGGAAAATTAGTGAAGACCTAAACAAAATAGATATTGCATATTCATGGCTTCAAAGAATTGATGTTATTTAGATTGTTTTGGAGAGGTTTGCATTTTTAGAGTCGGTATAGTTATAGTCAGAATTCCAGCAGGCTTGTTTGAAGACGTTGACAAGTTGATTCTAAAATTTATTGGCCAAAACAGCTTTAAAAAAGGTTGAGGGCATAGTGACCTGCTGTCAAAACTTGCTGTGAAGCTCCAGTAATCAAGACAATCTGGGCTTGGTGCGTGGATAGACTTTTAGATCAATGGAACACAGTAGAGTTCAGAAATAGAGCCACACTTGAGTGGTAAATTAGTTTTTGACAAAGACACCAGGATAAATCATTGGGGAAAAGATAGTCTTTTCAACAAACTGTGCTGGAATAACTGGATATCTATATGGAAAATAGTGAGGCTTGATCTGACCTCACTCTACACAAAAATCAGCTAGCAATGGATCATTGCCCTAAGCATAAGAGTTAAAAGTATAAAACTTCTAGAAGAAAACATAGGAAATCCATGTGACATTGTGTTGGGCAAAGATTTCTTAAACAGGACACAAAAAGGACAAAACAAAAGAAAAGAATGACAGTTGACTTCATCAAAATTAAAAACTTTTGTTCTTCAAGACTCAGTATGAAAATGAAAAGGCAAGAACAGACTAGGAGAAAATATTTACAAAGCATATCTGTCAAAGGGCATATATACACAATTAAGTTGTAAACTCAGTAATGAGAAAAACAGCCCAATAAAAATAAGTAAATGAGTTGAACAGACACTTTACAAAAGTACATAAATAAGCCAGGTATCACTAGTCATCATGGAAATGTACATTAAAACCCCAATAAGTTACTACTTTACACTTTCTACAATAGGTAAAGTTAAAATTACTAATGATGGCAAGTATTAGTGAAGATGGAGAACGGTGGGACTCTCATATATTGCTGGTGAAAATGTAATACTATATAGCTACTTCGAAAAATAGTTTGGCAATTTCTTAGGAAGTTAAATGTACATTTAACATGTGGCCCAGCAGTTCTCTCCTAGGTATTTACCCACGTGAAATGGAAATATATATATCCACATACAGACTTGTGTATGAATGTTCACGGTAGCCTTATTCATAGTAGCCTCGAACTGCAAATAACCCAATTGTCCATCTGCTGGTGAATAGATAATTGTATTTGCATATTATGGAGTACTATTCAGCAATACAAAGGAATGAACTTTTGATACAACAACAACATGGTTGAGTTTCAAAAACATCACACTAAGTGGAATAAGTCAAACACAAAAGTCTGCATACTATATGATTCCATTCACATGAAATTCTAGAAAGGCAAAACTTTGGTGCTTGCCTGAGGCCCAGCATCAGGTCATGGAATTAACTGTAAAGAGGTAGGAAGGAACATTTTGAGATGGTGGAAATATCTTGATTGTTGTGATGGTTACATGACTCTATACAATTTGTCAAAGTTCATCAACCTGTACACTTACTTAAAATGGGTGGATTTTATTGTACCTCAATAAAGATGTTGGAAAAAAAGAAACCATATTGTTAGGGAATGTTTATTTACTTTTATTGATAAATTCAAATCTTTCAATATATTTAAATGGTTTTCTTCAGACTATGCTACAAGTTGTTTAAAATAGGTTGCACCTGGAAAAAAGAAATGTTTCTGTGGGGACAAAGTAGAAGGTTGGTGGGGCTGCCATCTTAGTGTTCAGGGAAAGCGTTTCTGATGAAGGGACATTTGAGCAGATATGCATGAAGTGAGTTCAGTTCAAAATTTTCTTTGTATGTGCCTTGCACATTTCTTGCTAAATTTGTATTTATGTTTTTTATAGTTACTCTTGCTGTTACAAGTGAGATCTTTTTCTTATCTTATTACATTGGCTAATAATAATCCTTAAATTAATTTTTATTTGTATTTTCATTTGTCTTCGATCTCCCATTTGTTCATTCCTCACAGATAGTAACTATACAGATTTTATGCGTTGTTACCCTAAAGCTCTTGGTTCTGTGCTATGTTTCCAGTGTGTGCTCAGACATTGTGTTTTAATGGTTTTTACTGAGACTAAGCAGATCATTGCTATGATTTGTTAATCTTTGTTTTTTCTAGCTCAGCATAGCACCAAAATGTAAGTAGAATCTAAAAAAGACCTAAAGTGGAAAACCAAAGATGCAAGTCCAATTTCATGTAACATGATTTTAATTTTACTGTCAATTAGCACAACTATAGGATGCACATAGGAATGTTGGCTGGCACATTTAAAGGCACCCCTGGTGTATGAAAGGTGGAAGAAGTGAAAGAAGGTATTCTTAAATTTCACTAGCAGATTAAGAGAGAATGTCTGGAAGCGGTTGATTAGTCAGGTATAGATTAGAAATGGACATCTTGGCAAGATTTACTGTTTGATTTGAATGGAAGGAGTTCTTTTAGATTTCTTGCCTGTCTGCACTTAGTGTCCTTTAGGTAAGTGAGGTATCCGAAACAGACTTGAGGGCTCAGCGTCCTGTCGAATGGAAACATTAGTAGCTCATGTTCATGCTTTACCAGTAGATGGCAGCAAAGTGCTTTGTTAAAATGTCCTTACCTTCATTTTTTTTTTAACTCACATAGTAAATAGGTACTGTATATTTTTCTTTTAGTGAAGACCAAGGCAGGTATGATACCCTTATTTTCTTTAAATGGATAAAAGTAATATTACTATTGTGTACTGTCAATTTATATTAAATCATTTTATAAATCCAACTGATATAGCTTACTTTAAAAATGTTATTTCTTATAGGGTTCCTTAGCAACTACTTAACTGAAAGTTTTGTTCTCCATAGTATTATTATTTTACAGGTAGTGTTTTGCCTCAGATTTTTCTAAGAAACCTAGCTGTCATAATATATTTTAGAACTAAATAACATTTTACTAAACAGCACACAAATGTTTAATCATACAGCTTTGGAAATTTTTTTGTTTGCTTGACAGACACTTTGAGTTTTTCTCTTTAATGAGCAAACAAAAACTTAAGGGTGACTTTTATAAGAAGAAAGCGTTTTAATCCTGGGTAGTTAGATCTGACCAATTTATGTTCACTTGGACTTGCTGGCCTCCAGGAAGTGACCGACATAGTATGGGGGAGCAGTTCTTGCCCCTGTTCTGCCCGCTCCACAGGAAGGCCAGTGGGGTGAGAGCCATGCAGAGCTGACCCTGGACTTCAGGGAAGATCTGGGGCAGGCGACAAAAGTTTGTGACTTGAGTCACTAGCATATAATCCTTGTAGTTTCTTTTTTGTTTTAACATTTTTTTTTCCCAGAAATCAGTCAATTTAGGAGACTGTTTTGGAACTGTTTTAGAAAATATTATTTATACAGTGCTGAGGTTTCTCCCAATTTTTCACACGAAGTGCTGTTTAATTCTTACAAAGTCCAAAGTTCTTGTAAAACTAAGAATTTGAAATAGACTTTTATCTTATGGAAACATGATTTATCCAGATCACTTAACATATATCTTACATGCTTTGCAATTTTTACAGACCACAGAAAATTTTTTTTTTTACCTAATACATCCTAAAACAACACAGTCTGCCAGACCACAGTACATCCGTAATTTAGAACAGCAGATGTTGCTACACATGCTTCTCCTTAAGACCAAGAAGAAGCACAAGAGAAAATAAAACAAAAAGTTAAAACAGAACAGAAACATGAAACAAGACAGAGATGAAGGAGTTGAGTAGCCAAAAGCAGTTGGTTAAATCAGCAAAGAGAGGGGATGTGGTGACCTGAACTCTGTTTTCTATACATCTTTGAAACATTTTGTAAGTCCTTCTCGTTCTATTAACCCAGGTTTGATACCTTTCTCCTAGAATTTATTTTCCATTAAAACTATACTTCAATTAAACTGAGAAAAGAAGTAGTTGATGTTCATTATAATGTTTAATAGTTTCACATTTTATATGAGAATTGGCTAAAATGTGCTCTGCCGTGGTCGAGTTTGTTGTTTTGTCTTAGAGTCTGCTAATGTTTTCATTTTGATTTTAACTCTAGCTGATCCCACAGTTAAGGACTTAATCGGAGGCTTCACTGCTCTTCATTATGCGGCCATGCACGGCCGGGCCCGGATCGCACGCTTGATGTTAGAATCTGAATACAGGAGTGACATCATTAATGCAAAAAGCAATGATGGCTGGACTCCCCTCCATGTGGCTGCTCACTACGGTAGGGACTCATTTGTCCGACTCCTACTAGAGTTCAAGGCTGAGGTCGACCCACTGAGTGATAAAGGTACAACGCCACTTCAGCTCGCCATTATCCGAGAGAGATCAAGCTGTGTGAAAATCCTCCTGGACCACAATGCCAACATCGACATTCAGAACGGTTTCCTGTTGCGATATGCTGTGATCAAAAGCAACCACTCTTATTGCCGAATGTTCCTTCAGAGAGGAGCAGACACAAACTTGGGTCGCTTAGAAGATGGACAGACTCCTTTACATTTGTCTGCCCTTAGGGATGATGTGCTCTGTGCACGGATGTTGTATAATTATGGAGCGGACACGAACACACGGAACTATGAAGGGCAGACCCCATTGGCTGTTTCAATAAGTATTTCTGGAAGTGGTCGACCGTGTTTGGATTTCTTACAAGAAGTCACAAGTATGTAATTTAATTATTACTATTATTTCACTTTTTAAAAAAATTTGCATCTTCTGAGGAGCTTAAGGTATTTTTACAACTTAAAATGACCAGGCATTAATGATTCCTATTAGCCCTGCTTGGTAAGTAATACCTCATTCATCTGAAATAAAAAGAAAGCTCTATTTCACAAGATTTCACAAAAATTTAATTGTGTTACTAAAAGTCATATGGGTAGATAGTCATGGTGAGAGAAGAAACGGAGGAAAGGACAGAGAGAAGAGATTTTTAAAATTAACAAAGATCTTTGTTAGGGAAAGGCAGTTTTTACTGGTCATAAACATTGTCTTCCCAGGCTTTCATGGACTTCAGATTGAAGGGTTAGAAGGAGAATTTTTGATTTTCGATTCCATAGCTGTGGAAGTACCTAGAATTAGTGCTTTATTGCTGGGCTGTTCATGTTTTATTGTTGCTTTTCTGCTTTATTACATGTGAACCCACATGAAATGAAACAGCAGTCTTATTTATTTCAATATCCTAGTAATGCAGCTTAAGGATGCTAGAAATTGTAAGAAAAGATTTGCTATCAGGGGAAAATTTGGTGCCACTGTCCCTGGCCCACACGGCTTCCGTTGTATCTGACCTGTTTTTGTGTGGGCACTTTGTTTTTAAAGCCTGGAAGTGTCTGGCCCACCTTGTTTAGTGGTACACATGTTCTGTTGGTTTTCTGATGGGGTTATTAGTTTGTGTGGATATAGCCACGCTCTCTTGTGAGGCTTCCTTACAACAAGTTGAGTGTATGTTTCAGAGCTTAACATCCAACATGAAGCTAAAGTCTATAAACAAAATCTTTGCTTTTGCTGTCTGCTGCACTTTGTAATAAATTCCCTTTTCCTCACCCGATTTTTACCTTTCAGTCATTATTATGGAAGAAGAAATACATTCTGGGTACCAGGTACTGGGGGCTAAGGAGTTTACTTGGTCTGCTTGTAAATAATCTACTCTCCCCCTTGGAACTGAACTTGGGAGTAGAAATCTTATGAGGAAATGAAGTGTAATTTGAATTTTGTGTATTCATAAGAAAAGATGAAATCATTACCACTAAGTATATTTATACTAAAGCATAAAAAGAAATCACACTGAGGGTCTCACTCATGCATGCTGCCCAACAGAACTTTCTGTGATGATGGAAATGGTCTCTCTGTATATCCAGTATGGGAGCCACTAGCCCCAGGTGGCTGTTGAGCACTGGTTATGTGGCTCGTGTTACTGAGGAAGTGAACTTTTAATTTTATTTCATTGTATTAATTTAAATTTAAGTGTCCAAAAGTGCCTAGTGGCTCTCGTGTTCTGCAGCACAGATCTCCCTGCCTTGGGAGAGGTGTTTTGGGCTTTGTAGTAGGTGGTCTCTTACAAACAGCTTTTGAGGCGCACTCACATACCCTAAGATGGAGATGTGTCTGTGCTGGTTCCTCACCAGCGTACTCTGACTCTTCAGGTCCAGGACGCATTTCGGGAAAAGATTGTAGTGAAATTTCAAATGCTGATTCTCAGCAAATTTTCTAGCAGTCTTCATTTATAGACTGTTAGGGGTGCTGGTGTTGCAAAAGAGAAGGTTACTCTTGAAGTTAGGATTCTATCATGGTATGTAGCCTATAAAGTATATCTTAATAAATTCTAAAGATCTTTTTTGTTGTTGCAATTGTTGTTGCTTTAACTTCTATCCTAGAGACTCTTGGTTAAATTAGTACGGCTGCCTTCAGGAAGGCATGTTACGGACATAAATGCCCCAGTCCCTTTTGTTAAATATTTGCTCAGTGGTTAACGGCATAGACTAGAGGTAGACTACCTGGGCTCCAGCCCTAACTCTACCACTTGTTAGCTGTGACCTTGGGCGGGGTACCTACCTGCTGTGTGCCTCAAAATCAGGAATAATTTTATCTGTCTTATAGGCTTGTTGTGAGGATTAAATGAGCTAATATATAGTGCATATAAAACAGTGCCTGGCACATTTTAAGTGCTGTATGTGTTCTTTAAAATAACGTAATTAAATGAGGGTGGGTGAACAGCAAGGGCTGATTTCCTACCAACAGAGTGAATCCCTGAGATTCTTATTTTACCCTAGCCTCAGATTTTCAACTCTGTTGACTGTTGTATAGTCTGTATATGGAGACCCACAGCCAGGGGAGTGGAGGAGCTGCCCCTGTGTCCCCAGCCCCCAGAGCTACTGAGTTCCATCATAGAGAGTTGCTGGAGAGCAAGATGTTGAGTTAAAAAAGATTCACATGGACCTTTAAAGTTAAGAGCAGATGGAAAAAGTGGCACAGATTGTCTCTTTGTGTTGGAGTTCTCCACTGCATGTAGAGTGGAGCCATGCACCTAGTAGGTCCTCAGTAAGTGTGGGTTGGCTGATTGCATCCATAAAAGATGCTGGTTGAACAGACTTGTATGTTTTTCAGAAGTGAAGGACCATCTGTCTTTTGAAGGCAGCGGTTATCTTTTGTCTTCAGATGCCTCAACATAATTCATTACTTCTTGACTCTCTAGTGGTGTTTCCTGCCAAAAGCAAATTAAGTGTTTCTGTTTCACCTGTGCATATATATTAGATTTTTCTTTTCCTAGTGAGTAATTAGGTGCTAGAAGGACCAACTGTAGCTGATGCCCTTTGGGGTTCTCTCCTGAGCTCTCTCTCAGGAAAACCAAAGTGAAAGAAGGTTGGGTAGTTCAGGGAGCAGCCTTAAATCAAATCTGTGAGCTCCTCCAGCCTTTGACACTACCATACACCAGAGCTCCAGGCACCGAGCTGTTGGCTTCTAATCTGAGAACTCAGACTCCTGAGGTGTAAGGACAGGAGAAGTGCCAGATAGTGGTCTTTATTCAGGGCCACTTTACTATTCGTTGCACCATTTTTGACTAGAAGCAGGTTATTTAAATTGGAAGAGCTCAAGACAATCATAATCCTGGAATCTAGAAGCTACTGTAGCTTTTTAAAAATGTTGCCATAAAAGCTCTGATATACACTGTATAAAAACAAAGCAGATCAAATGGCTTAGTTATGAGATAGTATCTACTGGTACCTTGTTGATCATGAATAGAGGGAGAAGCCACGAAGAGCTGTCGTTACTCTTCACCCACAGCCAAACTTCCAGAAATCTCTGCCTTTTAGAATGGCTGGAACTCAACATGGTCTCCTTCAGAAAGCCAGTCAAGTGAAGGAGCAGCTTCTTTGTGCCCTGGAACAATAAACACAGCTAAGAAGAGCCAAAGATCATACCTGAAGAATGAAGATCATCTTGCAGAAGGAAAGATGTTTCCTGGTTAGCTAGAGAAGCCAATTTTTGTTCTTTCACTTGATAGAAAAATAAGAGAGAGTGGCACAAATAAGTGAAAGGGACAACAGCAGAGGGAACAGTGATATGACTGATGACAGGTAGAAATGGTAGTGACGACAGACGGTAGCAGACATTCTGATGGAGGTCCATTGAGGGCCAAGGGCCCTGGATCGGGAGGTAAACCACCCCTTGCACCAGGACCAGGACTTGGGCGAGGCAAATGAGGTGCCCAGGGCACAAGATTTAAGGAGACTCTTGTTCTCAGGGTCGTGTAAATGCATGCAGTTAATTAAAGTAGAATAACTTGTACATAGCCTATGCACAAACACCATATGGAGCTAAGAGGATAACGAAAGCTCTGGCATATGGGAATGGGCTAGAATTATCTAGCCAAACAGAGCAGAAGATTGTAGTAATGTTTCCCCAATTCAAAAAAGAAAATGAACATTTATGCACAAGAGAAGGGCAAGCCCAAGAAAACGTTGTTAAAAGAGGTACAGTATTAAAATTGCTAGGAAGACTATTCTGTAAGTAAAGTTTGCCCTGAGGATATGGTTAAATAATAATACAAGAGTTCCCATTTCTCTGCATCATCTCCAACACTTGTTATTTCTTGTCTTTTTTAATTATAGCCGTTTCGATGGGTATGAAGTGATATCTCATTGTGGTTTTGATTTGCATTTCCCTAATAATTAGTAATGTTGAACATCTTTTCATGTGCCTGTTAGCTATCTGTATATCTTCTTTGGAAAAAAAAAGACTGTTCAGATCCTCTGCCCATTTTTTGATCAGGTTTTTTGTTTTTTTTAATTGCTCAGTTGTATGAGTGCTTTACATATTTTGGATCTTAACCCCTTATCAATATATGATTTGCAAATGTCTTCTCCCAATTGTTAGGTTGTCTTTTCTTTTTGTTGATGGTTTCCTTTGTCAGGCAGAAGCTTTTTAGTTTGATGTAGTCCCATTTGTTTATTTTTTCTTTTGCTTCCCATGCCTGAGGAGACATATTCAAAAAGATACTGCTAAGACTGATGTCCTAGAGCATATTTGTTCCACTTTTTCTTCTAGGAGTTTTATGGCTTCAGGTCCTACATTCAAGTCTTTAATCCATTTTGAGTTAATTTTTGTGCGTGGTGTTCTACTTTCATTCTTTTGCGTGTGGCTGTCCAGTTTTCCCAGCACCGTTTATTGAAGAGACTTTCCTTTCTCCTTTGTATGTTCTTGGCTCCTTTGCCAAAGATTAGCTGTCCATAGATGTGTGGTTCTATTTCTGGGCTCTCACTTGTGTTCCATTGATTTGTGTGTCTGTTTTTCTGCCAGTACCATGCTGTTTTGATAGCTACAGTAGCTTTGTAGTATATTTTGAAATCAGGGACTGTGATTCCTCCAGCTTTGTTCTTTTTTCTGAGGATTTCTTTGGCTGTTCAGAGTCTTTTGTTGTTCTACATAAATTTTAGGCTTCTTTGTTCCATTTCCATGAAAAATGTAATTGGAATTTTAATAGGGATTGTAATGAATCTGTAGATTGCTTTAGGTAATATGGACATTTTAACTATGTTAATTCTTCTAATTCATGAGCATAGAATATCTTTCTATATCTTTGTCTCATCTTCTTTTTCTTCCAACAGTGTCTTATAGTTTTCAGTGTAGAGGTCTTTCACCTCCTTAGTAAAATTTATTCCTAGGTAT